CCAGGGGAACTAGAGGTTAACCTTTGGGATTACATAGGGGGTCATTATAGTCATGTAGGGGCCTAAATAATTACTAGTACTATTCTGGGGGTTCCTTATTATAAGTCTGGTATAATGGGCCCCAAAACCCTATTCTAATTTTTAAGGGCCCTATAGTAACACCAAAAAGGTTAAACAAAGGGTACCTACTCTACTACTGGTGTTCATAGAAAGACTTCTAGGCGAGTTTTCAGGGGGTTCCTGCTGTTCTGTCGGGTTTCTTCCGGGTCTCCCAAAAGTTTAGGCTCTTCGGGCTTGATTTTGCTTGGGTTTCGAGCTCCCTGAGATTCACTTAGTAGACTTTTTGTTAAGGGTTCAGGACTTGGGATACCGGGTAGACATGCTTTTTGGTCTAAACGCCAGCAGCTCAGATTCACACTCTGTTTGCTTCTAGCATGGACAGGGAATCGAACACTGAAAGGGTCTCTTAGGCATGACTCCAATTCCACGCTTCCCCGTCCTATGTCATAGAGCAAGGGCAGGCACACATTCGCGAATTGGTGGAACAGAGGAGGCAGCAGACAAACACAAAAAAAAAGCCTAGAATGGGTACATACAAATATCAGTGGACAAGGGATGCCAAATTGGTTTGGTGCTGCATTCATCGCAACGTAGAGCAAGCAACCCAGGCCACGAACATAAGCAAGATGTCCCCTATCAGGCCCCATCAAGCGGAAAGTTCGCTTGGCAGCAACACACACACACACACACAAAAAAAAACATGTTGCAACAAACCAGTCGTTCAGAAAACACCAGAAACACACAAGACCGATGCAGACCATGGTACAACACGCACACCTTCGAGGATCATGGCTTGACAGTTCGTGGGCTGAGAGCCTAAAGGACGGATTAAACAAAATTCTAAAACCTGAAGCCCATGAACCTCAAGCCTAAAGCCCCGAATGTACTCTGTTCGTCTTCGGGCACGTGGCACGCGAGTCATAGTTGGCATATCCAGCGTCGACGTCCCCTTGGCCTTCGCTGTATCGTCTGTGGTTCTGAGGTGCAGGGATCTGTAGGATCACGAGTCTATCTTGCATAATGTAGGGGCCTTAATAATAATTAGAATGTGAATATGGTTTGTGGCTCCTGTATACTATAACTATAATAAGGAACCCGAAACATAATATTGATAATTCGGCTTCTATGATATGGTAAAGATACAGCAGGCCCGTGGCTCAGGGTTAAGAACTTACTGCGGTGTGAGGGTTGTGTAAACCAAGATCTATTTTAAAAGTCTCCTTGGTGCTGAGATAAACTCCTGTTGAAGCCTCCCTGAACCCTCTCTAAATCCTCAACCGTAAACCTCTCAAACCTCTACCTTGAAGTGAACCCAGACCTGGAACAAGCATCATGTCTGCCATGCTGAAATCAAACCCTTGATCGTTAGCCCTTTACTAGGCTCCCCAGTAGCCCCCTAATAGTAAGGGTACCCTTTTTCCGACTGTTCGGTTTTCATAAGGGAGCCCAAAAAGAAAAAGGGCAAAAGGGTCCTACTGGGGAACCTAGTTTACTATCCCAGACAACAAAACCTGTTTTGTGCTCACATCTCGTGGCTGCTTTTCACGATCCACTCACTGGTTTCAGAAGTTTCAGCGCAGAAACAAACTGGCTTCTGGAGATCTCCTAATTAGAATAGGGTTTCGGGGTCTTTATAGTATAATTATAATAAGGAGCCCCCAAAATAATATAGGTATTTATTGAGGCCCCCATATTAACCATCGCAACCAGGCGGCGTCGAGAGCCTTAAAGGCTTCTGGAAGGCTGCCTGGCAGCTGGAGGCTTTATTTCAAGGCATCGGTGCTGAGACTTTCTAGTGGTTTAGGGTTTAAGGTTTAATGTAGGGCCTTAAGAATTGGAATAGGGTTTTGGGGTTCCTTATTATAAATTATTGTACAATATGCCCCCAAACCCTAGCCTAACTATTAAGGCCCCTATATTAGGGTGTTGGGGTTTCAGCTCAAGTTAGTCTAGCGTCAGGTGCTCTGGTGCTCGCGGTCGGTGTCGTTGTCTTTGTCGTGGTTGTTGTTGCTGCCGTTGTTGCTGTGACTGTTGCTGCAGTGGTTGTCCTTGTTGTTGCTTTTGCCTTTCTAACTCTTTGACGATGGTGACCTGTAGTGGCGGCAGTCGTTGTTGTTATGGCGGTGGCGGCCGTTTTCGGGCTTGCATAACTATCGTCGATACGTCGAGACTTCGATAGATAAGAACAATAGCAAAGGCATAGCAACAGCTCTAATAGTAATGATGATAACGGTAACAATAGCAACATGCTAATCATGAAAGCCACACCGAAGACCAGGGTTTAGAATTCGGGGGTGCAGCTTGCTGCAGACGGCTTCTTCCGAAGGTTCAGAGTTGTCACCTACTTCTTGGAATGAAGGCTGTTCTCAACCGCCTGTCCCTTGCCAAAGCCTAGGAAAAGCAACTTGCACCCACTATGCTGGAAGGTTCCTCTTGTAAAGGCGACAGTGCCACAAAGTGCAAACCTAAACCCTCAAAGCTATTCACTTATTTGCTGTTATGTCGCCAGATCTGGGAATCTTGCATGGAAAACCTCCATGACTCCATCACTCATGGTGTCAAATTTCTCGGACCCCGTCGTGAAGTCGATCAAGCGTTTATTGCTCTTTCCCCATCACAACAGGGAATCTATGCATATGCCCATGGTCGTCAAGGCCCCTGCATCGAGCCAGCCCAGAATGATGTCATCACACTTCCAGATGCTCGTGCCGTGGTTTATGTAGATGTTCTCTCTTGACTTACCTGCCCGGGGAACTTCGACCCTTCCTTGAACTACATCCTCGACAAGGAACCTTGCTGCAGTAACACGATGCATTTTGCACGCAAACTTCTCGCCGGAAAAAAGGCAGACAGTCAGTACTCTGGCATGCCTTTGCTAGAGTCCATATAAACGTCATATACCATACTATGATCTACTATGGTATGCCTTAACAGACTATAATCTAGTAACCATGGCATCTTAATGTAATGTAGGGGCCTTAATCATTAGAACAGGGTCTTGGGGTATATTATACCATANNACCCCCCCCCCCCCCCCAGTATAGGTAATCACAAATGCCCCTATATTAGTCTAGGTTTGACAGTCTAGTGCAGCTGGAAAAGGTCTTACGAGCCCCAACCTGAGAAGGGTCTGCAGATAGGGTTCAGGGTTTAGGGTCTAGGGTCTAAACCCTAAACTCTGAACCTCCAACCGCGTGCCTGTAATCTGCAGAAGAGACTGTCTCAGATCCTGAATCGACGACGGCTCCCCTGGCGAAGGCTCTCAAAAAAACGGGGCTAAAGCCTCAAGCCTAGCCCTGAGCCTGAACATTTACAGGGGGTTTAGGGATTTAGGTGTTTTGCGTTCGCAGGGGTTTTTGGATTCAAGCTCGAGTGTTCTGAACACTAAGTTCAAGTGCGTTGTGCCTCTCCACCCACTCAAGCGCTCGAGTATTTGGGCATTTAGGCCTTGGTCTCGGGAATCGCCCCCAACTCTAATAACAGTAATAAGAGCAGCAAAAAGCAGTCATAATAGCCATACTAACGGATAGAATTTCAACACATTAGACAAAGCGCAGTAAATAGCAATACTAACAAACAGACTTTTAATACATACGTTAGGAAAAGAGTAATCGCCGTAGCCAGCTCGAAGCCAGGAACAAATAGCTACTTTGGGCTAGGGAAGGGTCAGGGTGTACAGGGTCGTAGACTTTAGGGTTTAGGGGTTTAGGGTTTAAGGGTTTAGGGTTTAGGGTTTGGGGGTTTAGGGTTTAGGGGTTCAGGGTTTAGGGTCGTAGACCCAAAGCCCTACATTCCGAACCCCAAACCCGAAGTCTTAAACCCTACATCCTAAACAATAAACCCTACGGCAGCAGACTGACACAAGTCAAGTTCGATCAAACTCCAACCCGCAAGCCCTCAACCGAAAACATACGAATTCCCATCCGCCCCTGAGTCTAACCACAAAAATCCTCTGGGTTAAGGGTTTAGGGTTTAGGGTTTAAGGTTTAGGGTTTAGGGCACCCTTGCGCTTACCCAATACGGCCAACATGTACTGGTTGGAACAATCGGCCACGTTATTCCTTCGAATTCGAAGTATACTTATCACGAATATGCTCTAATTTTGCAGGCGCCTAAATTACGCCCAAGTGCCCCAAACCCTAAACCCCAAGCTCGAAACCCAAAACCGTACGGCCCCAAAGCCCGAAGACCGAAACATTCCAAAACCCAAGACCCTAAAACCCGAAACGCGACCTGGACCCCAAAAAGCGCACGAAAGCTCTGATGCCTTCAGCCCTGAACCCCAAACCCTAAAGCCTTAACGTTTAGACCCTAAACCCGCAAACCCTGAAGGCCGAAAGCTCTGAACCCTGTTAGGATCCTACGCGCGAAACCACTATAGTGCCTTTATGGGGGAAGAGCCGTGGTTTAGGGTTTAGGGTTTCGGTTGGTTTTTGAAAGCCACCTTTTTCCACAGCATGTCACAGAAAGGTCTTTGCAGACCGGGGTTTAGGGTTTAGGGTTTATGGGAACC